GAAAAAAAAAAAAAAAACAAAACAAAAAATGGAAATTTTGTTACTTGATTTCTTGTGGCAAGCTTGTCACGACAAACTCACATCGTTCAGTTTCAAATGTTTTTAAGAACTATATATAAGTTGATTCAGAAAGATAACATAATCAAAACAAAAACAAAAACAAAAACAACAAAATTCTGATCTCTCTCAACAAAATTATGTATTGAGTCAAAAAGTTTTACATGTTGACAGATCATAAAATATCACAAATTTTTCTACTCAGTCTATAGACAAGTGTTGCATAAGGTAGTCATTGCTTTAGAAACGCGATGGAATTTCTCTTTTTCCACAATAAATCCAAATTCCCCGTTAAACTATAAAAAAATTTGCAAGCTAATGTATTTTTTGATAGTGATGGGAACAAAAATTTACGGACTCCTTTACCTATTGACAGTTTTCTATAATCTCTGCCCGTTAAAATGAGAAGATAGAGAACAAGGTTTATAATTCCACCCAGAACTGAAGATGTGTGCCCTGGTATATATCTCTTACTCTTCAAGCACTTGTCTTGAACTCTTGCCCCTCACTAAACATACGCTATTCAACCTCGGAATTGCTCACTTTAACTGGATCACTGAAAATAATCACAAGGCATGAGAGCTTCATCATCACGAAAAGTTGAAATTTTCACCAACGATATCACATGAAAAAAAGAAGATATACACTCACACCACTTGACTGAAACAGCATTTGCATAGTTGAAATTTACCCCATTGATATCACATGGTTCACCTCATTCAGTCAGCATCGGTCAAATTTCGAGCAGAAATTATCAGTCAATTTCTCAATGATAAGAACCGATCTTGGAAACTCGAGCACTACCAAATGTTGACAAAACATACCAAACCATAGAAACAATGAACAAACTTCTTGACAATACAAATATTCAAGGGAACATATCTTTGTACCTTTTTTTATTTTTTTTTTATTTTTCTTTTTTAACATGTGACAAGTACTTTATATACTTTTGGGAATGATCTTTTTCTGGTTATCATGGTTATGGTGAAAATGATTGATGTTGTTGTTGCTCTTCTTCTTCTTATTATTATTGTGGTTCTTCTTCTAATTGTTTGTCTACTTGTTTGTGGTTGCATATATTTTCATACAGTAAAGGTTGTTTCTAATAATTCTTCATACTGCAAAATTTTGCAGTTTCATCAGCTTGTTTCTAGTAATTTTTAAAACTGCAAAATTATGCGGTTTCATCAGGTTGTTTCTAATAATTCTTAAAACTGCAAAATTATACAGTTTTCTCGCTATGAAATATGAACTGCATTTCCATATTATACTGTTTCAATAAAAAACAAAACCAGACTGTTACAAAACAACTTCAATAAGTAAAGAACACATCAACAAACAAAAAATAATTCAACCAACTTTATTCATTACTTCCATAATACCAAGTATCACATTTTTTATTATCATAATTCCTCAAATTCAAATACAAATCCAAAGGAATAGATTGTCGCCTCAAATAGCAGCCTTGCACGTCTTCTTATTGTGATTCCCATATTTCAAGCACCTCCCACACTTGATTTGCTTCACATTCTCACCCCTAGAAGGTATCCTCTTTTTCTTGTTCCGCCCAGGCTGCTTCTTCGTTATAGGAGGTTTGATAACCGAACTACTGGCACCATCAAAGTCAAATCTCTCACTTGAAGGCACTGGATAAACAGATTCCTTGTATGACTCTCTAAAACAATCTACATGAAAAAAAAGATCAATGAAACCATACACATCTCTACCACTACTACGCAAAGCATGCACAGCATGACAACAAGGAAAACCATTCAATTTCCATTCATGGCAAGAACAAGTCTGTCTACCAATATCAACATAAAAAGAAATAGAATAATGAACCTCAAGCACAGTATCACTAGCAACAATCACATCCCAAGACTTAGCTAGCTCCAAAGAGTCCACCAACTTCTTTTCCATAACTGGACACAATTTCGTAGTCCATCTTCTAGATTTAGCTCTTCTATCCGACAATTGAGTCATGATTTGAACCCTAATCATATCAACCATACAAGTAATAGGCAACTCGCGGGCCCCACCAATCCAATTATTGTAAAACTCGGCAACATTAGATGACATCTCACCATATCGTTTCCCTCTAAAAAATGCATTGGCCCACTTATCATTTTGCAAACCATCCAACATACTATCAACTTTACCATTCCCAGCAATACGCCTCAATTTTTCCATATAATGTTAGAAAGAAGCAACCGTTGGCACATAAGCACATTTAACTAATATTTTCATCAAACACAGCTTATAGTTAGTACGAAGTCCCACCAATTTGTCAATCAAATTTCTCTTCAAATGATTCAAGCAATAAGCATGATGTGCATTGGGAAAAACCTCTGAAAGAGCGTCTAGCAATCCATGTTGACGGTCCGACACAAAAGTCAATCTCCGGCCTGAACCAACAGCCTTCAACAACTGACTTAAGACCACATCCAATTATCTTGATTTTCAGCGTCAACAATCGCAAAAGCCAAAGGAAACAAACCTGCAAACAAAACCACATGAAACTGCAAAAATTAGCAGACTCACAATACAATAACACACTGACAAACTAAACCAATACTAACTGCAAATAAATACATACCGTGATTACCATCCTTTGATGTTGCTGCAAGCAAATGCCCCTTGTAACACCCCTTCAAAAATGTACCATCAACAAACAACAACGGACGACAAAATTGAAAGCCATACAAACATCCATGAAATGCCACAAACAACCTCCGAAAACACCCACTACTTTCATCCACATCTAATTCAAACACACTTCCCGGATTCGTTCTCATAGCCGTCTCAAGGTACCATCAAAGTTGGTCAAAAGAAGTTGCAAAATCACCAAACAACCCACCTCTTGCCTTATCAACTCCTAACCATGCAACCCGATAAGAAACATCTATACCATATTGCTTCTTCAACTTTTTTTTAACTTCAATAGAACGAGTCAACGGATTATCACTAATATCATTTTGCACAATATCAGACACAAGTCTAGAACCAACCATTTTGCTACAAGATCTACGAGCAACAACCCCACAAGTATGCACATTATCCAACTTCATTATAAAAAAAAACACCAGAATCCATCAACACCCTTCCATGCACAAACCATTTACAACCCGTAGACGACTTCATCATACATTCAGCGGTTACTCTTGTTGCATCATTCTTCAAATAATTCACTGCAAAACCACACTGAACCGCATACTTAGCCAATGCAATGCGGAACCCCGACACTCCACCTTCAAATTCTTGACCAACACTATGTATAATCCCCTTCCAACTAGCAGACAACAAAACTCTCTCTGGTTCTGGATAAAAACTACGCAACAAACCACCAACATCATCACAATCATTCACAAAAGAACTCTCACAAGTTACAGAATCAATCCTACAAGAATTACCATCATCAACCTCCACAACTCTCTTATCCCCCACAATAACATCAACAACATGACAACCACTACCACCTACCATTGACAGCATATTCCCCAAATCATCATCACATTCAACAATACAATTAGAATATCCAGGAACAGAGAAAAACAAACAAAAGTTACCAACACTCAACTCCTTGAACTTCGCACATATTTTCTCAACAACTTCATCATAACTACATCCGTCACTAATCTTAATAGCAGCACAACAATTACTGTATTTGCACATTAACATGAAACACCGCTCCATACTACAAAATCAGAAACCAACAAACAATTGTTCACAGATTCCAAACTGCAAAATTATGCAGTTACAACATATCAATAACAACAGTACACAATTTACAATTCCAAAACTGCAAAATTATACACTTACGACATATCAATATCAAATATATCTATCACCAGAGAGAGAGAGAGAGAGAGAGAGAGAGAGAGAGAGAGAGAGACAACGTACGCAGATATCGCCTGTACACAGAGATTCAAATCGTACAACCAGATCCACCTTACAGCACAATGAGATCGACCACACAGCACAATGAGATCGCCACAACGAAGAGAAATCGAGATCGCGGAGATGAAGATTTGATTTCCTTTTTTTAAACAGAGCAAAAATTTGATTTTTCACGTACATATAGATCTCAAAACAAAGGGTAATACAGTCATTTAAAAATACGAAAATAAAAAACGGGACCTCTGGGTATAAAACTTAAAAAACTGTGGACCTATTGATCTATTAAAAATAAATTGGGATTAGAAGGGAAATAGATCCCCTACATAGGACTACATGGTAATTTCCCCTTAAAATATACATAATTTGTCATGTGTATCTCAGCCCATGAGAGTGTACTCTTTATGTAAAAGTGTCCTTTAGTTTCTTTTTTCATTTAGGGGTGGTTTGAGATGATCTAAATAAGTGTACTTTTTGACTTTTTATAAAATATAGGTTGGATTTGAAGTGATGTATTAGAGAGGTGATGTAACTTAAATAAGATGACATGACTTAAATAGAATAGTAATTTTTTAACTTTTTTAGATCATGCCAAACAAGGCCTTAGTACTCTACGTGCATGACGATTATCCTTTATCTAACATTTATCTACCTAATTGGGTTGAGTTTATTCTTCCTAGGAGTTTCATTCACAAGACTCATTCACACCATATAAAAAAAATTTGCAAATTACTCTGAATAGATTGATAAATTATCAACAAATAAAAATATTTCAATTATACTACCAAGATTCAATGATCAATTCATATAATGATACATTAAAATTACGATGAGTGTGTATCCCATTAAACTACAAGGGACTATAAAAATGCATTGTGTCGTCAAATAATTGGTGCATTCATATGGAACTTTATTGGGTGGCTGTTTGAAAATTTCTAAACAAGTCATGTTTTTTTTGGAATTATTATTATTATTTTTTTGTTATTAGTGACATTTTTTTTAAAATTAAGTCAAATTTTTTAATTCATTTTGTGCAGATGAATTAAAAAAATATTTTTTTAAAAATCATTCAAAAAAAGTAAAAAAGCCAAAACTATGTCCAAAAAATTTACTAATTTTTCTTTGTTTTTTGTGAACTTTTTTATTTTTTTTCCCCCATTTTGTCCCGTCGAGTAATCTAAAAAACTATAAAATTTTTAATTTAAGAAAAATTATTTAAAAACTAAAATAAATCAATCGAGAAAGTCACTAAAAAAAGTAAATCCCAAACCGTGTTGCCAACAAGATGAAGATGGTGGCATAAAGACAGACAATATTAATTAGTTATTTTGCAAATTGAAATATTTCTAAATATTTGTATTTTAAATTCACTAATGTTAAGTGTGGGTGTTGATTTTTAACCACACAACCAAACGGAGAACTCAGTTAGAGAGCACTAGCAAAATAGATTAAGCTCGAACAACCTGCCACAGAAAGATAAGAATCCGACAATGGTTTGTCCACCTGGGGGCACTCCGACAATCAAGTTAGTAATCAATATCTTTTAAAAATAGAAAATTATGCTTAAACTCACAAAAAAGAACTCACCACAGACCCACGAGGGTGCCTTGCTTTTATACCCAGCAATGGCCTGGTCCCTGCAGAAGCTTAACTTCAATATACTTAGGCTCAATGCTCATCTTGGACTCTCGGCTAGATAAGGATAAACTTCCTAAGAACTTTATCTTTATCCAGACTGAGATCCTCAGAACTCTTGTCCCTTATTCGTTTGTCTCAGATTCTGGTATTTTCGTAGATAACCTCGACTTAGCCGAGATCACCTCGGCATCAAGACCAGGC